AAAAGGGAGAACGGGAAGCTTAAGGAGGAAGGAAAAAGGGACAAAAATGATCCATATATGATGTTTACATCTATCAGTTCCAAAAATGAGGGTAACACCATGTAGCACAAGTCTGCACCAATAATAAAAATGGTCTTTGAGTAAAGGATTCCTTAAAAGTCTGCAGTGAGATAAGGAGTCAATCTGTGTAGCAGATTCAGGTGCCAGACGTCAGCGAACTTAAGTTTGTCTCTGCCCAGTTTCTAAGAGACAAACACAAAGGAAGGCCACCAAGGCCTTTCTGTGGGAAGGGGAGGTGATGTTTACTGTTCTAACCCCTCCCCAGGCCTGCCCTTCACCTATGTGCAAAAACCCACCCTGAATAAGCCTATCTTTGATATATGAAACACATGTTTATGTACATCAAGGATATATTTATTGATAAGCTGATATTTTAACTATAAAAGTGGCCTAAACATGTTTTTAACCTGTTATATATCTTTAACCAAAGAAATCTGAATCAAAAGTACTTCATGCATTATTAGTGAACTATTTCCAGTCAATCATTGGTCTTATCTTGATAAAATTGTTTTAAAATTTGAACGGTTTCTAATGAAAACTAGGATAGAAAGTGCACCTTTTCTTATGGATGAATACAATTTCTTTCATTGACTGCTTATGAAGCATCATGACATAAGTAGACAATGAAAGCATTCGTCAGAATCATTCAGGAGGCGAGGGTCAGCTGTCACAACTTTAGGACCTACTGATTGTTAAAGGTTGCTTACAGAGTTAAAATGTCATTCCAGGGAGCACTTGTTTATTGTATCATTACAATAAACAAACCTTCTTTAAAACCAGTAATCACAATCATTTAAGACCAAAAAAACCCAAAAACATGAATTCACTGTAGACTAAACTTTCCCCAAAAGACACTTGCACACTATATTTTATTAGAAGTTGAACACATTGTACTTCTCAACATATAATGGACTGCAAAAGCATTAATAATGCAAATCTGTGTTTTAATACAAATAAGCCTTACAAAGTCTGTTTGATTATTAGTGGAATTAATATTCTGCCTTCACAATGCAGTTACTGTAGTGTAGAGTAACATCAATGAAAGATAAGCAATTTTTAAAAACAGCACATTTAATAATACACATGAATTCTACCATCAAAAAGCATCTCAATGGTCGTGCCATCTCTCTTCTTCTTTTCTTATACTTTAGTAAGAAACTCTTTTGTGAGTGTATTTTACTGACATTTTCAAACAGAGGAAGATAGCTTGATAAGTTTCAGAAGAGTCACCATTCTTCTAAAACCAGAAATTCAAGTTTTATCATGTTGTCCAGGTAATTCTCCCTTCATGGAACTATTTGAAGTTCACCCCTTTATGATGACCCCCAAACTGCTTTAAAATATAGAGCATTCTGCCTTCCTGAGAGTTTCGAGAGCATGCTCATGTCTTTCTGGACGGTGGGTTTACAGCCCAGTGATTTTCATAATGTTTTGATGCAGTAATTTCATGGTTGCAAAAAACAACAGAGAGCTGGTCCGGTTAAAAGGCAAGCATGCAGGGAAGACACAATAGCCTGTCCTCACACATGAGGTCAGAAAGATTCTGACATTTTCCCTAACGTCTTATACTTCCTTGGAGACCACTTTAAAAATCTATTTCGTAGGAAACAGTTATATGCATGGAAAAAATATATGTGCATTCACCTTACATTGCCATCACAAATACCTGAGATAATTAACTGACAAGATTTATTTAACTCACCATCATCGTCCCATTGCTTTGGGACACTGCCAGGGAGGGGTGCAGTGGTAATGACAGAAGCTTGTAGTGAAGAAAAGCCACTTACATCATGGGCCAGGAAGCAAGAGAGCAAGATGGAGAGACTGGGTTCCCACAGCCTCCCTCCCATCCATGCGCCTCAGTGACTCAAGGTGCATCCTGTTTATTCCTTCTCCTTGGGGACCAAGCCCTAAGCTACGGACTCTGGAGGACAGTCAACATCTGACTCATGCTATCATGTGCACCAGGTTCATATATTAATCTTTTGACAAACTTTACTTAAAAATTTAAATGAATGTGTCACATGTCTAGTGTGTGTGTGTGTGTGTGTGTGTGTGTGTGTGTGCGTGTGTGTGTGAAGTATCCTTTATCTAAAGTGCTCATGACCAGAAATAGGTCAGATCTTAGAGTGTTTTTGGATTTTCATGCACAGGTTGAGCATTGTTATTTTGAAAATGTGAAATATAATATGCTCCAGTATTTTTAAAAAACATCATTTAGGCATTCAAAAAGTTTCCTATTTCAGAACACTCTTGATTTCAGATATATGTGATGAATAGTATAAGAAATATAGTAAGCATTGATTTGGGGATTTATCACTCACTAAGGCATTGTAACATGTGTTTTGTTTTCAAGACAGGGTCTTACTACATAGTTTGAGCCTGCTTTGAACTCTCTTTGTAGCCCAGGTTTTGAAATCTTGGCAATCCTCCTGCCTCA